ATCTGGGAGTTGGTTTAATTCTCCTATCATGAATTCCAGGAATGGAATTCAGGTTATCAGGCTTGTATGGAATATGGTCTTAGGTGCTGAGCCATTTTCAGTGGCCCCTTTCCCATGTTTTCTTTCCATTAAAAAATAAAAACAGAAGTGTTTCTTATATTTCTCTCCCTCCCTAAATAAGTAAATGAAGGCGTAAGTCATAAACAATGCCACACCAGTTTGGAATTATGATTAATAGGGTGGTATTTATTTAAAGGGGAAAAAACTTACAGATCACTGTCAGCCCTCTGCGCAACCAGGAAGTGAGTCTAGCAACCAGGAAGTGAGTCTAGTCGCCAGCGGAGCAGGAAGTGAAGAGAGAGAGGAGAGGGAAGTGGCCGCTTTTTTAAAGGGAGAGAGACCACGCGCCAATGGGCTGGTATCTCAGCGGCTATAGGCTGGAGGAGTGGGAGGACCTCCCGTAACACCTCCCCCTTTTGTTTAAATAAGAGAGTTCTAAACCTACTATGAAATTATATACAATAAGTACAAATATCCTATTCTAACTAGCTTAGGTCTTGTATAATAAATAACTTGGCCAAGTCATGAGAGAAAGTAACTGCATTTATATAGTCTTCAACCCCATCGAAGATCTGAGAAGGAAAATAATGTTACCTGGGTAATTAGGAAGTTCAGTAAAACAACTTCCAAAACATGCAACAAATCACAGAGACAACTAGCTACCTAGGCAATCACCCAAAGTCACATTAGCAGCGTTGAAGCAACCAACATTGGCTAAGGCCTAACATAACTGACATACCATTTTTCAAAGGCAAGCAACTTTTCAAAACTATCTTACCCTGTCTTGGTAGGATATGACAGCCCTGTTTTATCCATTGATGCATGCTCTGTATCTTTGTCAGTATTTGGGGTATGGGCATTTCTTTGCCCCAAGGCCAGTTCTGCCAAAAAGAAGGCTCCAGGTGGAGTGTCTTTGGTGCTCAACATTCTCTTGGGAATAGAGCGGTGTTGCCAGGAGCAATTGTGTCTCACTACCGCAAAACTCTGAGTTAGATTAAAGGCCATTTTCTACAGCTCTTTGAAGAAGTTGAAGATTATCTATCTATACTGAGTATAATCTCTATATACCTAAAGAACCTGATTAGTCTAATTATAAATGACAAACTTAGATGACTATTAGTCTATATAATTCTCAATATCTATCTAACTTAAAGACTAAGACAATAAACGACTGTGAAACAAATGAGGACAATGGCCTCCAACTATAAACAATGTACAAATATACATTGCAGTAGGTAAATATATATCAATACACAAACATTATATAAGTATCTTAATCAGAGGTAGAAATGTACACTGCAATATGGTAAATATATACAATATATATATCAATACAATATATGTCAATACATAAAAAATGTTTTAAGCAGAGGTAGAAACATGCATGCTTACAATAGTCAATATAATTTAACTTTGTGTCAATATATAAGAATCTATACCAATATATTTGTCTAAAAACAGTAACTCACAATTACAAATCTATTATCCCATCATAGGGATAGGAGTGGGAGGACCTCCCGTAACAAGTAAATGCTTGTAAAATGCTATCTAGTAAGGAAAACATAGGGCTGTGCATGCAGCTTGGGGTAGTGTGAGCTTGCCTCATACATGGGTCCAGAAGAAATCATTATATATCCCCTTCTCTTTGATTTATTCTCATGTGTTGTATATAATCATATATAGGCCTATAGGGAATTTTCTTCAGAATTTAAGATTTCTTATAACTCAACACTAGAATGACAGCCCAGTGACACAGAGGGCAATAAATGGATCTGAAGAGAAATTTTGTTAGTATTCAGGCACACCCTCACACAGCACCTCACACCATCTGCCTGGCTGTGTAGCAAATGGTATCCTGTCCCTTTAAGAGACCCTCCGTTCACTCTCAGTCTCTCTAGTGCTCTCCCTCCCTTCCTCCCTACCTCCTTTCCCCCTCTCTCTTTTTCTCTATCCCCCCTGAGGCAAGCAGGTCTCAGCCTCTTTTCCTTCACCCTCCTCCCTCTCTTTCGCTTTCTCTCTGTCCCTTCCTCCCATCCCTTCCTCCCCACTACACCTTCCCTTTTAATAAAACTTTGCACTCAATCTTCATCTACATGGCATATTTGTCTGTCCCTTACCAGCCGCGGGTTGAATCTCACCCACATGCCATGGGACCTGGAAAGATTTCCAAATGTCCCACTGGCACACTGGAAGATGTTCAACACCATCAGCCGTCAAGTGTTGCAAATCAAATTTCAATGAGATGATACTTGATATCATTAAGATGGTGAAAATACAAAAAATAAGTCAGTCCTGGTTTCATAGCTCTGCAATCCCAGCACTTGGTAGAGGAATGTGTGTGTGTGTGTGTGTGTGTGTGTGTGTGTGTGTGTGGTGTCTATCATATATGAGTTTGAAGCTGGACAGCAAAATATGGTCTAAGAATTGAAAAGTACATGTTGCATGCTGAGGATATAAGTGACAGGGAAAGCACTTGTCTAGCATGCACAGGTGCTGAGACATATGTGAGAGTGTAAACATACCAGAGAACAGGAACCTGCTACATTACTGCTGGTGCAACTACTAGCAACTGAGCGTTTATATATATATAAAAAAAGGAGATACCCCAATTACCTACTGCTTGATGAGTAGGTAAACAAAGGGTGGTGTGTTAATACAGTGGTCTAGTTTCTAGTCATGGAAAGGGTTAGAGAAAGGATACATCCTATAACATGAATAAATATCATAAACATTGAGTTGAAAGTTGTTGCGGGAGGTCCTCCCACTCCTCCAGCCTATAGCCGCTGAGATACCAGCCCATTGGGGCGTGGTCTCTCTCCCTTTAAAAAAGCGGCCACTTCCCTCTCCTCTCTCTCTTCACTTCCTGCTCCGCCAGCGACTAGTCTCCCTTCCTGCTTGAGTAGAGGGCTGTTGTCTGGGACGGTGATCTGTAAGTTTTTTCACCTTTAAATAAATACCACCCTATTAATCATAATTCCAAACTGGTGTGGCATCATTTGTGACTTACGCCTTCAGTTGGCGCCCAATGTAGTTACTTTCTCTCATGACTTGGCCAAGTTATTTATTATACAAGACCTAAGCTAGTTAGAATAGGATATTTGTACTTATTGTATATAATTTCATAGTAGGTTTAGAACTCTCTTATTTAAACAAAAGGGGGAGGTGTTGCGGGAGGTCCTCCCACTCCTCCAGTCTATAGCCGCTGAGATACCAGCCCATTGGGGTGTGGTCTCTCTCCCTTTAAAAAAGCGGCCACTTCCCTCTCCTCTCTCTCTTCACTTCCTGCTCCGCTGGTGACTAGACTCCCTTCCTGGTTGCGTAGAGGGCTGTTGTCTGGGATGGTGATCTGTAAGTTTTTTCTCCTTTAAATAAATACCACCCTATTAATCATAATTCCAAACTGGTGTGGCATTGTTTGTGACTTACGCCTTCAGAAAGTAGCCAAAGGACTGAAGAATGGGACACTTCCTTATTAGATGATTTGATTTCTCTTTAATACCCAGAATGAGACACTTGAAACAGAAAGTTAGATTGGTAACTAATAGGTGGTGGGGGTCTGGAGAAATGAAGAGTAATTACTAATGAATAAAGGGTTTTTTCTCGAATGACAAAATTATTTTAAAAGTAAATAGAATAATGGTTGTGTTATTGTAAGAACATAGTAAAAAAATACCTACTGGGTTATATACTTTAAAAGAATAAACTTACTACATAAATGTATTACTTCTCAATATCTACAGATCACATTTCATGTCCATGTATGTTTTGTCTGCATATATGTATGTTCACTGTGTGCATGTCTGGTGCCTGCAAAGAGACAAGAGGGTGTTGGATCCCCTATATATAAATATCTGTGAGCTTCCTTCCATTTGGGTGTGGTTGTAGGTTGAAGGGTTTGTGCTGAGAGGTATTGAGGACTATTTTTCTCCTCCAGGGGCATGTAGAGTACTTTCCAGTACAGTGAACTGTGGTTAGTAGGTGAATAATGTAGTTAGACACCAGCTCAACGTCTCCATATTCAGTGACAGAAGTGTTCCCTCCAGAAACAAGACATTAACATCAGGTTGTGTGAGCAACCAAGAACCTTGGCAATAGCCTGTACTATTTGGTGGTTTCCATGGGTCCCTTTGGTGAATGACTCAACAGGCTGTAACCTGTTCCTGGCACTGGAGGTGTAATTTGGTGGCACAAGATATCTAGTTGAAGTCTTCACTCCCCTGTTGTTTTTTGTCTCCCTGTGGGTTCCTTTCACATATGTAAAGGAAGATTCTAGGATAGTCAGTCACCATATAGTTTTTCAAAGGACCTTTAGTATTGGTTGTCCCTCTCCATTTTCCTTCCTTTACTTTTCTGTCCCATCCCCCTTTCATTAAACCATCCAATTCTAGTTTTCCTTAATAGCTAAATAACACTATAGACTTTTTTCTTTCCTTTCCTCTCCTCCCTCCTGGTCCCTTACTAGGTTCCATACCTCTGTGGGTATTCAGATTGAAGTTCCCATATCAGAACCATAACATCCTTAAAAGAGAAAACATACAATATTTGTCTACATGTACTGAGCACTGTATGCTTTTGTCGCTGGAGTCTGACATGGGCACGCACAGAACACAACCTTGGTGCACAGCTGCTGAGTACCATTGTGAGCTCATAGCGCATCACTATGCCCCTAGAACTGTGTTGCTAAGAGTGAATCAGAATTCAGCTCACACTGAACCAAGGATCTGCCCAAGCAGGACGCTTATTTGGTTCAGTGGGGAGTTTTTACCAGATTTTGAACATTTACTATTGGGTTTGTGAGGGTGAGGGTGGTTAAAGGGGAAGGAAGGGAGGGGTAGTAGGCCTGGGAGGGCCAGGAGAGCCAGGAGGGCCAGGAGGGCTGGGAGGGGGGGCGGGGTTGTCGGGAGGGCCAGGAGGGCCAGGAGGGCCTGTAGAGCCTTAACATGCAGGAGGATATGGAGTATGATGCCCTAACCATTCGGGCCCCTCAGCCGTCTCGCTGGTATACCCGCCTGTGGCCCGCATGCCTGGGTCATGGGTGCTTGAGTCGAAGACAGCAGCGATTTCCTTTGTACCTAATTGGGTACGATCCCGTGGGCCGATTACAAAGGGCGGCCAGTGTGGGTGATGTCAAATTAGTCGAGAGATTGATCAATGCCAGTGAACACCATGTTAATGAGTGCGACAGGAGGGGCAGGTAATGGGGCCTGAGGAGGGGTGAGGGGCAGGAGGGGCAGAAACTGTTGGGGACAGTCAGGGTCTACCAGGGAGAAACATACCTTCCAGATCTGCAGCCTGTGGGAGGGCAGATGTCATGCTTAAGGCTCTTCTTTCGTGGAGACCTCTGGGTTTGTACCTGCTTTAAGCTCCTAGGCACCTGAAACCTGCACACCTTGGAAGGGCAGCTCTGAGGCTTTCTTTAAGAGAAGCAAAACAAAGAACTTCAGTTAGTTTACAAATCCCTTTACATTGTCTCTTTTAGAGCACTTTATTGAGGGCTTTAAAGGAATTTAGCTAAGGAAACCACATACATCTTTTTATGTGTACACTTAAAATTTTTTAGGTTTGAGTGTTTTGGCTGCATGTATTTTCAGTATACCACACAAGCATAGGAAGAGGGTGCTGGATCTCCTGGAACTGGGGTCATGGACAGTTGTGATCTGCTGTGTGGGTGCTAGGAATCAAACCCGGGTCCTCTGCAGGAAAAACTAGAGCTTGTAAATGCCAAGCCATCTCTCCAGCCCTTTAATGTATATGTTTTTAATGCTGTGTTATATGCAACACAGAAAATTGTATCTTAAGATAAATTTTCACATAAAAAGCCAACTCAAAGCCAAAAAAAAAAAAACCCAAAGAATTAACAAGAAATCTTATGTCTGTTTCATGCTTGCTGAGGGATTTCATAAGGAAATTTTCAACTTGAACTATAACTCTGTCCCCCGGCCCCTTATATACATGTTGTGTGTGTTTTGGTACATACATGAAGGCTAACGGTTGACATTCTCTTTGAAAATTTCTTTTCATCTCATTAAAAAATCATATGTGTGTGTGCACCTGTGCCTCACACATGCCAACTAAATGTGTGAAGGTCAGAAGAGAAGTGTCGACAGCTGTGTTCTGCCATGTTGTGGATTCTGGGGATTGAGCGTAGGCCATTGGCTCTGCCAGTAGGTGCCCCCACCTGATGAACCACCCTGTGGTTCCTCCACCTCAGCTTTTTAGACAGATTCTCTCACCCAAATCCCCGCTGTGTTTGACTTATTGTCTTGGAGTATACTGACTGACCTAGACTTGCTGGCAAGATAGATTTGGGGATCCTCCTGTATCTACATCTCCAGCACCAGTTTCTCAAGGTGCTGGGGGTTCTGAAGTTGGGGTCTCAGGCTTGCAGGGTGAGTGATTTTCCAACTGAGTTGTAACAATCACTGCAGCCCTCTTTCCTAGTCCTTGTTTCCTGTTTCTCACTAGATTATAGGCAGGAAACAATGACCCTCAACAGTAGATTCTCCATAGCTCACATGCTTCTTGATCATGTCTGTAGTTGTGAGGTTATTTAATCTATAGTTATTCAGTCTTCCAAATTAGAGCTTCATACAAATAACAGAACAGTAAATTATTGTTTCAAAGTATTTTTGCTTAATAAGTGTATTCTTTAAAAACACTGAATTTTCCAGCTGTATTTATCCATTCGGCCAATCCACTTATTCCCTGCACGTAACTTAGATATCTACTGTACAGCATACAAATCTACTAGCTCTCAAGACCCTCTCATTCTTAAGATATTACATTTCTCTCTCCAGTCAGCTTTACTGACGTTCTATAAATTTAAATATTGAAAACAATGAATGATACTCAATTGAATCCCTAGTAATTTTTGTCTTTAAACATTTTGAAAATCAAAGCAAGGGAGCTATGATACCATGGATTATCTCCTTCTGGATAGATTTAATAAGTTTTGGTGCTAATTCATGGAGGTATAAGGCAAAGCCATTTGCTACCATCTGGTGTCTATATTAACATGGACATTTTGTCTATTGACTAAGGACTATGCTGTGTCCCTGTTGGCAGCAAATATAGAAACATTAATTCTGGGCAAAGAGAAATGAAAAAAAATTAAAGTATTGATGACTGAAATTTTAGATTTTTTGTTTGTTGTTATTGCTATTCTAAATAGTTTACATTTCATAGTCTTAAGAGCAGAAATTTACATAGATACATGTGACCTTTAGAAGTGTCATGGGCCTGTGGATTGTGTCATATTTCATTGGATGTCAGGCACAATGGACTGCATGGTGACCTTTTATTTTGTATGGTAGCAAAGTAAAAAGCATTGCCAATTATTGTCATAAAATATCATGAATTATAAGTGGCAGACATCAGCGATGCTAAAGTGTGAAATAAAGAGTAAGGTGGGTGCAGTGGAACTGCCTGCATTCCTACCTACTGGGAGGATTACCAAGTTCAAGGCCAGCTTAGGGAATATAGTTTTAAAATATTGTAAAGATACTTGAGTAAAAACTTTCACATCTGCAGTAGGTATAATTCTGCTATTTCTCTTCATTGAAATATTGTGTTTGTTACCATTAGAAACAAATTGTAATCGTATCCAGCAACACTGAGCTGTCAGGTGCTGGAAGCATTTGTACATGCTCTTGAAGATGTGAGTTGAGGCGTCACAGTGTAAGAGAGCTGCAGTGTTGAATCCCCATTCTACAGATGGAGAGATTGATTTGTGGAGCTCTTAGGAGGTTTATGTTCTAACTAGTAACACTCAGTGATTAGAGTAGGATTCAAATCCAATCTGAGTTCAATCTACTGGGCATTCTCCTGTTATCCAGAGAGGCTGCTCTGAGGAAGGGTGAAGCTTGTGATAGAGCACTCGCCTTGAATGGGACAGCCATGCGCTATATGCCTAGCACAGAAAATGAACACCTGAGTAGAGAAATAAGTAAATAAGAAAATTTTAGTTTCTTCTTTTACATCAGAAGGAAATGCACATTGGTGTCTACTTGAGTGTGCCTTTACATAATAATCTGTAATTTCCTAAAATGTCCTCTCAATTTGTAGGAGTCCACTGCACTACGCCTCTGCCCATAATCATCCTAATGTAGTAACATTGCTATCATCCAACAACTCTACCGATATTAATATGAAGGATGATGAAGGCTGCACTCCCCTAATTAAGGTAGCTATCGCGAAACACTTTTGGTATAAAATGGATTATAAATTATCCTTGTTTGGTTTTTGTTGCTGTGATGAAACACTGGCCAAAACCATCTCAGGAAAGGAAATGTTTATTGGCTTACAATTCCACATCACAGTCAGTCATGAAGGGAAACCAGGTCAGGAGTTCAATCAGGACCTGAGGCAGGAAATGAAGCAGAGGTCATGGGGGAATGATGCTTTCCCGTGGCTTTTTCCAAGGCTTGCTCAGATATCTTATACTACTCAGGATAACCTTCCCAGTCATGCCACCACCCCTAGGAAGCTGTGCCCTCCCAGATCAACCTCAACCAAGAAAATACTATACACTCTTCCCAGAGTCCAGTCTGGTGGAGCCAGTTCTTCAAGTGAGATTCTTTTTTTCCAGGTGTCTTCAACCTGTGTCAAGTTATCAAAACAGGCAAATGAACAAGCAACCTCCCCCACTACAAAAATGTCCAAACGGTGCTAGTGAAATGCTTTAATATCTAGGTGTGGTGGCACACCTCTGAAACTCTACCACTTAGAAAACTTTAGTGGAGAGGTTATGAATTTAGGAAAGTCTGGGTACTTGAGAGGGATAATATACATGACCTAAACAATTTGTCTGATCCAAGGGTAACTAGTCAATGGAATTGTTGGAATGCTTATTAAAGTTCTTGATTTCAGTGTCTCTTTCTTTATCCAATACCCACAGGCCGCCCAGCGGGACAATGTAGAATGCATCTCTATTCTACTCAGGCACGGGGCTGATCCCCACATTGTAGATGCCAATGGCGATGCTGCCCTCCACCACGCCATTTGCAGAGGGAACATACCAGTTGTCAGCAAACTGCTGGAGTATAATGTAGATATTAAAGCCAAAACAGAGGTAAGAATCATTCAACTTCATTCACAATGTACTTCTAGCAATGACACTCAGATCTCTTTCCACATTCTGAAGCTTAAGCAGTCTCACTGAATCTGTTCAGAGTAAAGCACTTTTTCCAAATCTGTTTTTCATAGTTTTGTAGGTAACTTAAAGGAACTCAGCACAGCACATTTTGTTTTAGACTTGGGCTTTCCTTTAAAATTCAACAAGTAAAGGACTTGGGCCCACACATACTTCACATACACACAAACAATAGAAAAAAATAATTTTAAGATAAATGTCTGCAGAAAAAACATAAATCTCTTGCAATTAAGAAGTTACTGATGTGAATTGTCCCTCAGAGATGAGGCTAGAGTGGGAAGGTCACAGGCACACAGGTAAATGTGGAGATTTGATCATTGAAGAAAACATGCTGAGAAGACATTTTCACTTTAACTTTTTCAGATTTTATATGTACGTAACAAAGGAGCCAAAATGGGACTCTATCTTAGACAAGGAGCAACTCCATTGTAATTAATGACCTAAGCCTGAATCCAAGATGTTCCCCAGTCAAGTTTAGCCTATTGGCTAAACAGTTCCAAACCTGGCCTTATAAGGCCGGGAGACCGGAGTTGCAGGATCTGGCTGCTACTGACCACATGTGACAGAAAAATCCCACAATGGATGAAACTGTTACTAATTCTGTCCAATCAACATGCCCCCCTTGTAACTGCTCCCTGACTGCCCAATTACTGAAAAGATATATAAAAGATTAAAAAGATAGAATTCCCCATGTCCACTTTAGAAGGGCCTGTATGTCTTTGTCCGTGGTCCTCATTATCAGTTTATATGGGTGATGGACTGTTGCATGTTGGCTATTTCTGAAGAATAAGCTCTCTTTGTGTTTACATACTATTTGAGCCTGCGGTCTTCCTCCAGCATCGTTTGGACCACTACAACAGGAAATGATGTTTGGTTTGGGAGAGAATTTTAAGGTTAGGGAAAGTAGTTTTGAAAAACAGGTTGAGAAACTGCTCCAGAGATGCCACTTGAGTTCACTCATTCAACAGAGGCATGCCAAATCTATCTCCATGTTTTGGGATTGGGGCAATGGAGGCACATCTCCATGGAGCTAAGAAACTGGGAACCAGCAAGCAGTTGTGGGAAGTTCTGGAAATACTGGTGTTCACGGGCATTGTTGGACAGGGAAAGATGTTTCAAAGGAAAAGGAAGCCTTGTGTGTAGAAACTGCAGCAAGAGCTGACGGAAAATCTATCCTTTTGTGATTCATTTTGTTTTCAAAATCTGTGATACATTTTTCAATTGAGAAGCATGTCAATTTATAAAATGAAATTTTTCCTTTACAGTACGGGTTGACACCCTATAAACTCGCTTTGTTTGAAAATCAACTTAAAATGGCGGAGTTTTTAATTGAGAACGGTGCAGTTGCACCTTCAGAGCTTACACCAAATAGGTACTGTTTCTTTTTTACAATCTTAGTGCTGTTCTTGAGGGTGTCATTGCTTAAGTAATGAACACTAAAATGGTAGAGGGAAAATGGCTTTAACTCATAAGCATATATTGAGAAAGACTAGCTCACAGGGAGTGTGAGCTGGAAAAGAGACTGTTCCAACATAAACAAAGGAACAGTGTGTACCAGGGCTCAGCTTCCCATTTAAAAACAAGTTATCATTTCTAATCTGATTTGATTGGCAATTTTCTACTTGTTAAGGCAACTTCACATTAATGTTGTTTACTTTGAAAAGTGTCAAGTTTATTATCAACACTGAAATGTATTTTATTATTTTTAGCCTGTTCCTTATATATTTTCTTCTTATATATGTTCAACTTAAATATTTTTTTTGAAATCATGTTGTCTCTTTGATCATTCACTTTGCTTTAAGTGAATTTGAATAAGCAAATAGTTTAGGGTATCCATCAATTAGATGATATTACCAGATGCTATTATTTTCCCCTGTCCTGTCTGAACTATCTTGACACTGTGTTAGTCAGATGTGAATCTGTACACCCAAACTCGTGAAACAGCTAATCTGGATAGGGACACTTGTCCAAAATGAGTACAAAGAACTAAGACTCCATTGAGAAAATGCCTCCATAAGATCTGGTTGTAAGGCATTTTCTTAATTAGTGATTGATGGATAAGGGCCCAACACATCATGGGAGGTGCTGTTCCAGGGCTCATGGCCCTGAGTTCTATAAGAAAGCAGAATGAGCAAGCCAGTAAGCAGCTCTCTTCCATGGCCTCTGTAAGCTCCTGCCTCCAGCTTCCTTCCCTGTTTGAGTTCCTGCCCTATCTTCCTTTAATGATGGACTATGGTGCAGACATATAAGCCAAATGAATTCTTTGGTCCCCAAGTTCATTTTGGTCATGGTGTTTCATCACAGAAATAGCAGCTCTAAAATGGACACCTGGTATTTAAGATGATTTCAGCATTAAAAATTAAATGATTACCTTTTTTGTTCATACATGCAAGTTTAAAGTCAGATGAATTAAAAAGTAAAGCCTGTGTGTTGTGTATGCTTTTATTGAAAATACACTTTGGACATACCATATATTCTAAACAGGTTTAGCATCCCTCATCTTCATGTACTTGTTTTTGTGTCAGAGGACATGCATGCACTGATATTCCCAACCAAGACACAGTACAACACTGTGTGATGGCTTTGTCTTCCATCTTTTTTGAGGCATTTTTTCTATTTTTATTTGGCACTTGGCCACTTACTCCAGGTAAGCAGGTTGGGAAGCCTCTTTGGTATCTTGCTACCTCCACTTCCTTTGTACTATAAAAGTGCTGGGATTATAGATACATTACACAGTGTCTGACTTTTTGTTGAATTCCAGGTATTCAAATTCTTGGCTACTGTGACAATTATGTATACCCACTGAGCCATCTATCTGGCTGTAAAACACTCAATTTTTAAAAGAAGACTTTGGGTCTAAATTAAGAGGTGGCTATAAGTGTATTGCTATTAATTATGGAACTAAGGCTTCTGAGTGCAGAGCACTTGCAATTAAACCTCTAATCTAGTTAGAGGGCCTGTGTTTCCCTCTAAGAAGAACCATTTGAGGTCATTTATTCTTCCTTTAATACAAAATAGACAGAAATTTGTAATGCTGGTACTTTTGAAGCAAATAAAGTGTGCCTGTGACTTTGACAGGGAATAGCACAGTTTTAGGAATTCATGACTAGGAGCATGTCTCAGGAATAAAGTACTTATCACACAAACCCAAGATTTCAGGGTTCAACTCCTCAGAACACCTAAAGGGCCCCATGTTCTGTGTGCATATTAATCTCAGGGAACCTTGAGGGACATGGGAGATGGAGAGAGGAGACTGTCTGGAAAGTTATACTTTAGATAGTCTTGCTTTTTACAGCTGTTAACAACAAGAAACTCTGCCTCAAAACTAAGTTAGGAGGCAAGGACTGCCAGTCAAGGATGTCCTCTGACCTAAAAAACATGCACTAGGATCAACAGACACAAATGCATACACAGATGTGAACAGGAATGCATATCAAATATGAAGATGAAAAAGTAAGTTTAGGTTGTTGATCTAGTAAGACTGGGGATCATTATCTGCTAAAAAGACATTGGAAATAGTGGTCAAGGTTGAAGGTTTTCTTAGTTTTCTGGAGATCACTTCAGCAGCGGTGCTATTTTGGACTAGGTTCACACCGCAGGTGAAAAGTCCCCATGACAAGTTCCAAGACTGTGATGACAGCCAAAGCAGAAACTAGGAAAATAAAGCTGCTGGTCCAGAGTATCCTAGCAATAGGCCCTGAAGTATAGAAGTCTTAGCTGTGACCTGGGAAGAATATAGCTGACAAAAGAGTGTTGCTTTCCTTGAGTATGGAAGCTGGTTGTGAGTTACAAAGACTCAGGATTACATAAAAAGGCTTATGAACAAAGAAACAGCCAGGCGGTGGTTTCAGCATTCACACATGAAAGAACTGTTAAAACAATTTGAAGGTACCACAACTGTCATGGCTTCTAAGAATGCAGGCAGAGGGATGCTTAGAAGCAAAAAAAAAAAAAAAAAAAAAAAAAACTTTTTCATATACTGACCATTGAGAGCATAGTAATCAACAAAATACCTCCAAAGAGTTCTGACAGATAGGACTGTGGGGCCTTAGGGACAAGCAGGCAGATGAGTGGAACAGGAACACTGACTCCATGAGCATATAAATACAAGGTTGCTGGAGCATTCAAAGCAAATCTATGGAAAAAGCACTGATACCATTCATGTGTGTGTGCAAGAGAGAGAGAGAGTGTGTGTGTTTTAATCAAGAGATAAATTTTCTCTGTTTCTTCTCTATGAGGGAAGGTGGGAAGGACAGCAGTCATTAATCATCACCAACTGTTGAAGAATTAGTTTAGAGTTATTAGGCTGGGCCTTGTTGCCCATGCCTTTAATCCCAGAACTTGGAAAACAGGAGGCACACAGATCTCTTTGATTTCAAGACCAACATGATGCATATAGTGGCTTTAAAGTCAGCTGGACTGCATAATGAAATCCTACTTCAAAAAATTATTTGTAAATATATGATGTAAGATATCTTAGGGACTCAAAAATAAAGAATTTAGAAAACATGCTAAGTATTTTTATATGAATAGTTAAATGATGATCACTTTTAAACATATGTCACAGTGGAGGAGCAGCTGCAGTGGAATCAGAACAATCAATGAAAACCTGTGCCAACTCCAACAAAGGTAAGAATGACTCCAACTGCTCCTACCTTCCCTAAAGAAAATAAGGAAGAGTAAAGATTTTAGATCCCCAAAAAGGAGCTAAGGAAATCCAGTATAAATGCAGTTCTGTGGTTTTCAAATATTCTGAAAAGTCAGAATTAATTAAGAAATTATTTCAAAAAACTTTTAACTGTGAAAATATATTGTCAAAACATTGCTTATTTTATATTAATGCTGATATCTGTACTGCCTTTGAATAAAGGAGAAATCAACTTTACACACGTGTCCTCCATAGTCACATTGCAGCAAATAGGATTATTAGAAATACATATTCTCCTGAGTTTTATGACAAAAGTCTTGTATTTTGTGCTGCATAACAGTACACAGGTAGGTGTCACTAGAATATAATTATGTCACAAACCAACCTCAGTAATCAATAACTTTCATTAAATAATTTCCTACCTTATGATATAATTAAAATCTTCTGACCTCTTTAATGTCTGAGCAATTTCTCAATTTGGACAGTTTTGTCCTACTGTATAATTGTTTTCTTTAGAAATCTCCCATTTTAGGGTGAAAGCTTTGTTCCGTAATGAATGTATTGAGTTTATGAAGACATATCAATCCTGACATGTTTTCCTTTTCTTTTTCTTTTCTTTCTTTCCTTCCTTTCTTCTCTTCTTTCCTTCCTTTTTGTTTTGGTTTGGTTTTCTGAAGAGCTAGACATTGAGCACAGGCTTTGGGAGCATTCTAGGCGAGCACCCTACCCATTATCCCTACTTTTCTCTTTAGTTTTTCTTATAAAACATGGTAAGGGTGAATATCATTTCCATGCTGCAAAGTGTGATTCAGGAATAAATATTGGAACAAAAAGCAGAGTGTAGAAAATGACATCATTCTGTATTTCAAAGAGTTGTCTGCTTCTCCATTGAGTCTGGAGAGACTTTGTGGCAGTGGCAGGAGCACCACGTAGTATTTACTTTCATCAGCTGTCATCACAGTGTCTTTTATACCTTACGTTGTCAGTGGCAACCACACTAAGTAGAGAATGCAAAACCCTCTTCCCTCAAGAGGTAAGATGAAGAGAGTCAATATTAATGTAATGGAGACAGCTTTGTGTCACTGTATTATGAAGTTTGCTGTTCATGGCATCTGTGGTGGTGAGAACTGACTGAGGCCTCCTGCATAATAAGCATAGGCTTTCCTACTGAGCCGCAATCCCAGTCCACTAGTTGGTGGCTCAAATGACCTTCCTGAGTCATGAGGAATGCTTAAAAGCACATTAAGTTTCTCTGACTTTAATCAAGACAAAAAAATAAATGAAAGTTTCATTTTATTTTTGTTTTCTTATGTTTATTTTGGTTTTGTGAGACAGAGTATTGCTGTGTGTTGACTTTGAGCCTAACCTGAAATTCATTCTGTAGACAAGGCTAGGCTTGAAATTACAGAGATCTGCATGTCTCTGGTACCAAGTGCTGGGATTAGAGTGTACCATCACTGCCCAACTCAAATGTTTATTTCTAAAAGCAAGCTGCAAGTGTCTAGGGAAGGATTGAGTGAGTTTATTGTTTACATATGTAAACATGTACAATGATCCTATGTCAGAAGGAAGCCCATGGAATTTGCTGCTGCAGTCTCACAGCTTCTTCTCCGCTGCTCTCTCACCTGAGGTAGAGCTCGGGGTTATTACTACCAAGGGAGGGATATTTCCAATAATTCTTTTCAGGGGAGATGATGCCTGCTTTCATGAGCATCCTTTAAGCTGCATATACGTCTGGAACACAGATAAAACTAAGGAACTTCTTCCCTCAACAGGGATGAGGAGAGGAATCCTGTTGCACTCCTTGAGCTGTTAGGTAAAAGTCTTTGCCCCTCTTCTCTTTCTTTCTGTTAGCTTATACCCTGATACAAAAGACAAAAGCCATACGTGTAGTCCCAGTGGTAGCATTTTGTACCATAAAATGAACAATTTTAACTAAAAAGCTGAACAAGATTCTTTGTTTCCCTGAAGAACAAAAATGTGTATAGGCTCATGGATTTTTTTTTCCATTTGAATCTGTTGTTTTGTTTGTGAGACACCGTCTCATTGTTAGGTAGTTCTGGCTGTCTTGGGAATCACAGGGATCCACCTGCCTTTGCCACCCATGTGCTGGGATTAAAGTTGTGTGCCACCATCCAGACTCTAGAATTTTTCTCAAGTGTCATTATCCCAAAGTCAAACAAGAACCACAGAAGCTATTTTGTGACACAGTCAATTGATGCTTATACTGGTAAGGATGCTACTCTCCATCTGTCTGAGAGAGATCATTTAGGATCATCTCAATTGTTTAGGTATTATGCTTGTTAAATTTAAGTCTTCTTTTATTTGAAATATTAAGAAAATGAATGAATTCCCCATGAGGAAATTTCTTACAAAGGAGTATTTACTCTAGAATAATCAAGATTCATCTCAAAAATTATACTATTTGTCTAATAATTTTATATGTTATATTTCTCTAGCATTGTAATGAATTAATTTTGATTTTTTAGAAGAAAATTTCAGCACTGATATAAAGCCTTCTTGCAGGTAAGGTCTAACAATATATAAAGACTAAGGAAATTCACAGATAACAAGCTAATTATTGGTTGTATTCTCAGATAGATACCGATTTATACACTCAATTTTTGTGTTGTCTTACAACCCCAGTTTTTTCAATGTATTTTTAGACTGAAAATTTATTGTTTTTAGATCATGGGCATGAGGTTTTTACTCAACCATCACTTCCCCTGTACCAATTCGGTGTTTTGGAAAATGAGCTTCCTAATGTTTACCACACACACTATGTCCATCTGATACTCCTTGCCTTTTCAAACTTCCTGAAATCAGCTAGTGAACTAGATCTTCATTGCATTTGTCTTTCTGAAAGCTGACAGAACTTGGGATCATTCTGCATTATCACATAGTGTTACAAGAAGTCAACAAATTGTTTACCTCCTTTGACACCATCTCCACATGCAGAGGCCCTTTTGTTCTGTGTAGCACCCTTTCATAGTTGGTAGAAGATCCCATGCCTTCCTCCTACCACAGTGCTCCATCCATCACTTTTCCATTCCTTTGAGCTGTTTTCTACAGTAACGAAGTCTCTGGATCTCAGTAGATTATCTGGATGTAGAGAGCCAAACTGTGGCATGTTTACTCTTTATGTGTCTATAAAAGGGGCTTTGTCTTCCCCATCAGTAGGACATGAACATAGAATAAAAGGCCCCTTCTGTCAGTGATCTGCTATCTCAGACACTAATTTGGCAGAAAATTAAAGGTGGTATGTCAAGCTAGTTCTGTGCTCATCTTAATTGATTACTTCCATAATAGAGGACAATTGTGTTATCATTTGTTGGAAGATGTATCATAAAGCATTTGATACACATTAGTAAATTGCTTATTTCTTATTATTTATTAATAAATTACTCCAAGTTAAAAGGTCCAAAATGCATCACAGTTAATATCCAAAGTGCAGATTCATAAATTACAGTAGCTACAACTGTTCAAAGACACACCTTGTAAAAACTATGTTCTCTTCTACTAAGAGTTCTAAACTGTCTCAAGCTGAAATTATCCACTGAGTTTTATTGTTGTTTGTTCATATTTTTATCTCGTTAAGTGAATAGCAATGCTCATTTGGCATAGGAACAGGCAGATTGTAGTTTCAAGTCCACTCATGAATGGACTACTAAGGGACAGCCTGAGCATATCCTAGGCCATGGTATCTTGTCAGAGTGTTAGCAGAAGCAGGAATCTATTCTATGGTCCACAAACAAACCTTGTGAGAGATAGCATCACATGCATTGAGAGCCCACAAAGTAACCTGAGAGAGAGGGGTTCTGTGATGCTCTAGGAGCAGATGATGACATGACAAGTGGAATCGGGGTACTAATTACATTGAGCACAAGAGTGACCATTAGTTACTACAGCATTAAAAAAGTTCTGTGGAGAAACTAGTGTCTTTCTTCGTGTGTGTGTGTGTGTGTGTGTGTGTGTGTCTTTCTATGTTTTTAGTGGACTAAATTCTTTTTTCACATGAGAAAAAGTGTTAAGGAAATTGTCACCAAACCTAATCAACTGATTGAAGGACAACTTAATGGCTAATGGTAAATCTCTAATGTATTTTAGGAAAACATTTGGTAAATTTTTTATATGAATATTAAAATATTACTTTTTAAAATATGCCACAGTGCAGTAAGACCAGCAAGACAGCTAAAATCCCTATTGAAGAAGTCTTTCCTGATTAAGAGAGGTAAGAGTAATGGTGAATACTTGACTACCAACTCCCTAATTTCAAGAACAGCTTGGTTTTTTCAAAATATGAACAGAGGAAATAATATAGAAATGTTATTCTATCTTCTTTTGATCTGCCTTCAAATGGGTTTGGATTCAGAATTATTTAAGAAGTAGTTTCTGAGAAATTTTCAGTCTCAAACTTTATCATCTGAAACATGTTTGTTTATTTAATGTGAGCCTCTGATGTACACGGTATCTTTGTATAAATAAAAAGATCTCTAGCTATTCCACAGTATGTGTCCTCTATGGTCATGTAACCATAAGTTGGCTTGTTATAAATAGATTTTTTATTAAAACCACATTGTGTTTATGCTACATATTATTATATACATCAATGTCAATAAGATGATCATGTTAAAAAACAAAAAAAATTATTCAATTATTTTAAGTTTTTTGAGAACTAAATGCTAGTAAGTTTTTCTGGGTTTTGCTCCTTCTATAATTTCTCAATTTAGACATATTAGACAATTCACATATGGTGTTATGTTTATCTTTAATTATCTGTTATTTAATCTGAATATATCTTGACAAAAATCTTGTCCTAAGAAATAATAGGCTTGCCCAAAATTTAAAGAAATAAATGGACTTTGAGTCCTGTAGGCAGTTCAGGGGATTGAACACTGCTCTTATAAACATTCTCCGGTAGCGCACGCCCTATTGACTATATTGCCAGCACATTTTTCCTTTGGTTTTATTAGTTAGTTTAAGATATGATGATACTTGGTTTATATGATGATAGACATAATTTCCAGAGCAATTTGCCACAATAGGAGGAAGGCTGAGAAAGTGCATCATTCTACAGTCGACAGCACTGATTGGTGCATTGAGTATATGGTTTCTATCTAAAAAATTGTTCATTTCTTTTACATTTTCCAATATTGTGTAGTACAGGTTTTGTAGTATGACCTAATGATTCTCTGAATTTCCTCAATGTCTGTTGTTGTGTCCTTTTCATTTCTGATTTTGTTAATTTGAATGATCTCTCTCCATCTTTTGATTAGTTTGGATAATGGTTTGTCAATCTTGTTGATTTTGTTTCAAAGAACCAGCTCTTTGTGTCATTGATTCTTTGTATTGTTTTCTGTGTTTCTATTTTGTTGATTTCAGCCCTCTGTTTGATTATTTCCTGTCTTCTACTCCTTCTGAGTCAGTTCTTTTTTTTGGGGGGGGGGGGAGTGCAGTGTTGTATAGATATCTGTTAAGTCTATGTGATTCTTTACATCTGTTAGTTCTCTTATTTCTCTCTTAAGTTTCTGTCTGGTTGAACTGTCCATTAGATAGAGAGGAGTGTTGAAATCTCCTACTATTAGTATGTGTGGTTTGATGTATGATTTAAGTTTCAGTAATGTTTCTTTTACTAAGAAACATTCTTTTAGTAAGATTTCTGTGGTGTTGTGGGTGTATTTAGCTTCCTTGGGTGGAAGTTTTCCTACTAGTACTTTCTGTAAGGCTGAGTTTTTGGATATGTACTGTTTAAATCTGCTTTTGTCATGGAGTATCTTGCTTTATCCATAGATGGTGAGTGAAAGCTTTGCTGAGTACAGTAGCCTGGGCTTGTATCCATAGTTTCTTAGTGTCTGCAACACATCTATCCAGGACCTTCTGGCTTTCATGGTTTCCATTGAGAAGTCAGGCATAATTCTGATGGGTTTGCCTTATATATTACTTGACCATTTTCCTTTGCACCTTTTAATATTCTTTCATTATTCTGTATGTTCTTTGTTTTGATTATTATATGGCTAGGGGATGCTATTCTTTTGATCCAGTCTATTTGGTGTTCTGTAAGCTTCTTGTGTCTTCATAGGGATATTCTTCTTTAGGTTCGGAAAGTTTTCTTCTATAATTTTGTTGAATATTTTTTTTGTGCCTTTGATCTGGAGTTCTTATTCTTCTACTCCTATTATTCTTAGTGTTGGCCTTTACATGGTGGCTCAGATTTCCTGAATGTTTTGTGTTAAGAATTTGTTGGATTTAATGTTTTTTGACCAATGAGTATTTTCTTTATAGTATGTTCAGCACCTGAGATTCTTTCTTCTATCTCTTATATTCCGTTGGTTATACTTGTCTCTGTAGCTCCTGTTCATTTACCCAGATTTTCCATATCCACAATTCCCTTGGTTTGTATTTTCTTTATTACATGTATTTCAGTCTTCAAGTCTTCAACTGTTTCTTTCACTTGTTTGATTGTTTTATCATGGGTATTTTTGGGGGTTTCTTTGAGGGATTTATTCATTTCTTCCAACTTTGTCTTCTCTTCAATTTCTTGAAGGGAGTTTTTCACTTCCTCTTTAAAGGTATTCATCATTTTCATAAAGTTATGTTCAAAGTCGTTTTCTTCTACTTCTGGGTTAGAATGGTCAAGTCTTCCTTTTGTGTGTCTACTGGATTCTCATGTTACCATGCTGTGTTTTAGGATATTGGAGGAATTTTTGCATAGGCACCTACCATCTCTTCCTTCAAATGAGGCCAGCAGTGTCTTGGCATCTTGGTCCAATTTTTGCTGTGGCTGTCTCGTAGGTCTCCTCAGTATTGGAGCAAGCTGTGTTTCAGAATTCCACGGAGCTCACAGGCTCTTGGGGCCCCTCAGTGTTGGAACAAACTGTGTTTTAGGGTTCCACAGAGCTTGCAGGTGAACAGGCACCACCTTGGATTTTCATTGTGGTAAAGAGGGTTGATGGAGGTCTCCCACATGCTAAGCCTCATTGGCAGTCCATTTGTTGGTGGGACCAACACTCTGCTTCAGCCATAGGCAATGCCAAGGAAGTTATATTACAGTTTATATACTGTTAATAAAATAAACAAGAATTTGCTTTATTCCTTTTCAGAGGGTGGGCTTTTAGCATGCAGTGGGAGCTTGATACATTGTCTGTGGGAACTCTGATGTTTTCTGTAAGGTACTACTACCATGGAATTGCTGCTTGGTCCCCATGTTTTTCCATGCTTCTCCTCCTAGAGATACAGTTCAGGGTGCATAGCTACTGCAGGGGGCTTTGCAATAGCTCTTACCATGGGAGGTGATAGCTACTAATGCTGAACTTCTTTGCATTGCCCATTAGTGAAGGACCAGAAGCTAGAACTGAGGGGCTTCTGCAGCTTCCTCAGAAGCACTTGAGGAGAATACATACCTTGACCCCTCTCTGGAGCTTTGCCAACCTGTCAGTTTGAAATTCTTTGCAGGGGCCATTGTCCTTGGTCTACTTGTGGTTTTGTTTTGTTTTGTTTTAATTTTGCTATGCTGCAAAGGGCAGTCACCATAGACTTAGCTTTCTTGTGTCTGGAATTTTCATCTTCAATGGAATAAGGTCAACTCAAACCTTAGAGAAACTCTTTTCACTTCCATACAAGATGAGTATACTCACTTACAATTCTCCTACCACCACTAGTCCAGAGACAAAAGCAACAGCAGCAACACTGTGCTACTGCTTTAACACTTCAGCTTGTGATATTGATTCTGGTTAAGATGTCTTATAGTGCTCAAGATCATAGGTGTTTTGTACACCAATTTATTATAAGTAGTAACTTTTGATAAGTTTGTCTCTATTTGAAACATACAAAGAAGTCTCAATTAAGAGTTATCTATATTTGTTGTCTATAAATCAATATTCACTTTAAATTTTAGCCTCATTTGGGGACAAAGTATATGTAGTAAAAAAATATTGGCCTTGGCATTTAATGCTCTTATATTTTACAATTGATTATAACATATTTTGTTTTTCTACTTTATAGGTAGTCGAAGACTAAAAGACGAGGTCTCACTCAGGTAAGAAGGTCTGGATTTTAAAATACACTGAGCATGTAGCGAATATAAAGTTTAGAAGCTGCCACCATGTTTTTCTCTGTGTAAGGCAGTTTCAGCTTCTTGATTACATGCTAATCAAAGCTGAATATTTATCTATGGAGAAGCATATAGTTTTAAATAACTGATTATTCCTCTGATATACCATGGAATGCTATTAAGACTCCCTGTCTGTGGAGGTGATTCAGTGGGGAAAGTGCTGGCTGTGTATATGGGAAAATGGGAGACGGATTCCCAGGGTCTATATGAGACCTGTTGGTCTTGTGTGCTTCTAAAATTCTGGTGAGGTTATGATGAGATTGCACGTGGACAGAGAGCATCCCCAGACATTTTCTGGATTGCTTGCCTGAGGTTTGCATTCATGAATGAGAGACCCAGCTAGTAAACTAATGCTTAAGGTTAGGGTCAACTCCCAAGTCTATATTCCAATCACCACACCTACACACTGGCATGTATTTATCTTAAATCACACATACATAGAAATACACAGCATATAACATATTTTGCACATATATGTAAAAGGATCCATTTTCAAGTCATTAATCTTTTTCACTAATTTGTTTGTTTGAGTTGTCTGTGGGAAGAGTGTGAATAATATGGCAAGGTTCAAAACTCTCCAAGGCTTTGCTAAAGATTACCTCAGAATGGCCTTATAGACATGCTTCTGTCCAGCAGGTTAATAGCTCCCTTAATGAGTTACCCAACTGTGGTGACTCACAAGGTAGGTGAAGTTAGAAAAACAAACTGGTTGGTCCAGAGCTTACCAACCAGAAGCCCTGAAATTTGGAGCTCTTAGCTGTAGTTCGGATAGAGTAGAGCTGAGGGTACTGTATTGCTCTGCAGTGCCCTGTAAATACTCAAGACTTGTGCAGGAAGTACTGGCCATTGCATATAAAGAGGATCCTCATAGATCAAGGTGGTTTTGGTGCATGCTTTTAATCCTAGCACTCAGGAAAGCAGAGGCAGGCGGATCTGTGAGTTCAAGGTAAGCCTGGTTTACAAGAGCCAGTTCCAGGACAGGCTTCAAAACTACAGAGAAACTCTGTCTCAACAAACCAATAAAAAAAAAAAAGAATTTTATCATGTACTTGCGCACAGACTACCAATAAAGCAGCTTCAAATCACCAAAATATGGTGAATTCTGATATTGTTGGCAGCTTGATGTTTAGATGTTTAGATTTTTAGATGTTTGATGTTTAGATCAAGATGTTGCTCCCAAAGCAATTTCTTGGGAGAGAGTGAGTGACTAAATGTAATGCCTAAAAAGTTTCTTGACAGAAAACAGGACAAGGTGCTTTAGGTTTAGGGGAAGAAATGAAATAGGAGCATTAAGTACTTAGAGCACAAAACAGTCAGTTACTTGCAACCATCAGAACAAAGTGTGTGGAAAAACCGCCATTCCCCTGTCTTGTGTGCTTGGATGTGTGTGTGTGTGTGTGTGTGTGTGTGTGTGTGTGTGTTTTAATCAAGAGATAAATTGTCTGTGTTCTTCTCCATGAGGAAAGGTGGAAAGGAGAGCAGTCATTAATCATCACCAACTGTTGAAGAATGAATTCAAAATTATTTGGCTCGGCCTCTTTGCCCATGCCTTTAATCCCAGAATGTGGGAGGCAGGAGGCATAGATCTCTTTGATTTCAAGACAAACATGAAACATATAGTGTATTAAAAGTTAGCTGGAATACATCATGAGATCCTGTTTCAAAAAATGTTTTTGAACATATGTAATGTAAGATTTATTAGGGACTCAAAAATAAAGAATTTATAAACATGCTAAGTGTTTTTATATGGATAATTAAATGATGATCACTTTCAACATATGTCACAGTGAAGGAACAATGACAAGAGAGCCAGAGCAGAGAAAGAAAAAGTGTGTCACCTTCAACAAAGGTAAGAATTACTCCATCTGTCCTACCTTCCCTGAAGAAGAAGGAATAAGGAAGAGTAAAGATTTTAGATCCCAAAAAGGAGTTAAGGAAAACAAGTATACATCAAGCACTTTCAAGTGTGAAGTATTTTTGTCAAAACATTGCTTATTTTACTTTAATGCTGATATCTGTACAGCCTTTGAATAAATGAGAAAACATCTTTACACAGCACATGTCTTCCGTAGTCACATTGCAGCAAATAGGATTGTCAGAAATACAGATTCTCCTTGAGTTTGATGACAAATGCCTTGTATTTTGCACTGCATATCGCTAACACATCTCACTGCCAGTAAAATGAAATTAAGCCACAAAAAACCTTAATCAATTATTTTCATTAACTAATTTCCTACCTTATGATGTTATTAAATCATCTGAGTTCTTAAATGTCTGTGAAAGTTCTCAGTTTGGAAAGTTTTGGCATACTGTATAATTGTTTTCTTTAGAAATCTCCTACTTTAGGGTGGAAGTGTTTCTTTTACAGTGAATGCATTGATTTTAGGAAGACTTAACAATCCTTATATGTTTTCCTTTTCTTTCTTTTCCTTCTTCCTTTTTCTTGGTCCCTGCCTCCCCTCGTTCCTTCCACCCATCCCTAAATCAACCCCTCCCTCCCTCCCTCCCTCCCTCCTTTCTTTCTTTCTTTCTTTCTTTCTTTCTTTCTTTCTTTCTTTTCTCTGAAGTGCTAGAGGTTGAACATAAGGCTTTGGGAGCATTGTAGGCAAGCACCCTACCCATTATCTCTGTCTTCTGTTTTTGTTAAATAGAACATGGTAAGGGTGTATATCATTTCCATGCTGCAAAGCATGATTCAAGAATAAAAACTGAGACAAGGAGCTGGAGAGATGGCTCAGAGGTGAAGAGCACTGGCAGCTCTTCCAGAGGTCCTGAGTTCAATTCCCAGCAACCACATGGTGGCTCACAATCATCTGTAATGAGATCTGGTGCCCTCTTCTGGCCTGCAGGAATATATGCAGACAAAACACTGTAGATATAATAAATCTTAAAAAAATTGAAACAAAAAGCAAAGTGAAGAGAATGACATCATTCTGTATTTCAAATAATTATCTGCTTCTCCGTTGAGTCTGGAGAGACTTTGTGGCAGTGGCAGGAGCACCACGTAGTATTTACTTTCACCAACTGACATCACAGTGGCTTTTATACCTAAGCTGCCAATGGCAACCACACTAAGTAGAGAATGCAAAACCCTCTTTTCTCAAGAGGTAAGATGAAGAGAGTCAATATTAATGTAATGGAGACAGCTTTGTGTCACTGTATTATGAAGTTTGCTGTTCATGGCATTTGTGGTGGTGAGAACTGACTGAGGCCTCCTGCATAATAAGCATAGGCTTTCCTACTGAGCCGCAATCCCAGTCCACTAGTTGGTGGCTCAAATGGCTGTCCTGAGACATGGGGGAATGCTGAAAAGGCACACTAAGTTTCCTTGACTTTAAACAAGACAAAAATGAATGATTTCATTTCTTTTTTTGGTTTATTTATGTTTATTTTAGGGTTTTTTTTTGAGTCAGGGTTTTTCTGTATGTATATTTGGAGCCTGCCCTTTAATGTATTCTCTACACAAGCTTGCCTTGAACTCCCATAGAGCCTCCTGCCTCTGTTTCCAAGCACTGGGATTAAAGGAGTGAGCCACCACTGCCAGCCTCCAATGTTTCATTTCTAAAAGCAAACTGCAAGTGAACAGTGAAGGATTGAGTGAGTTTATTGTTTACACATGTGAACTTGTACAATGATCCTATGTCAGAAGGAAGCCCATGGAATTTGTGCTTCAGTCTCACAGCTGCTTCTCTGATGCTCTTGCACTTGAGGTCGAGCTTGGGGTTATTACTCCCAAGGGAGAGATCTTTCCAGTAATTCATTTCAGGGGAGATGATGCCTGCTATCATGAGCATCCTTTAAGCTGCATATAAGTCTGGAACACAGACGGAACTAAGGATATTCATTCCCCAAAGGGGATGAGGAGAGAAAGCTTGATGCCTGCCCTCCCTTGAGCTGTTATGTAAAGGTCCCTGTCCCTCTTCTCTTTCTTTCTGCCAGGTTTCATCCTGATACAAAAGACAGAAACAATACATATAGTCCCAGTGGTAGGAATTTGCCTGATAAAATGAACAATTTTAACTAAAAGGCTCAACAAGGTTCTTCGTTTCCTTGAAGAACAAAAATATGTATAGGCCCATGGACCCTGTTTTCCATTTTGAATCTGTTGTTTTGTTTGTGAGACACAGTTTTATTGTTATATAGTTCTGGCTCTCTTGGGAATCACAGGGTGATTGTTTATTTTTAGGTATTGTGCTTGATAAATTTAAGTCTTGTTTGATTTGAAATAAACAAAATGGATTAATTCTACATGAACAAATTTCCTAAAAAAGAGTATTTACTCTAGAATAGTCTAGATTAGTCTCAAAAATGGATACTATGTATCTAATCATTTTATATGTTTTATTTCTCTAGCATTGTAACAAATTCATTTTGATTTTTTTAGAAGTACATTACAATACCAATAAGAAGGCTTTTTGCAGGTAAGGTCAAAGAATACAATAATACTAAGGAAATTCCAAGACAACAAGCCAATTATTGATTGTATTCTCAGATAGATACTGATTTATACACTCAATTTTTGCTTTGTCTTACACTCGCCATAGTATTATCAATGTATTTTAGCCAGAAATATTGTTGTTTTTAGATCGTGGACATGAGTTGTATACTCAACCATCATGTCCCAAGTACCAATTCTGCGTTTTGGAAAATGAGCCTACTGATGAAAACCACACTCACTATGTCCATCTGACACTTAGTGCCTTTTCAAATTTTTTCTGAAATCAGCTAGTGAACTAGATCTTCATCGCATTTGTCATTCTGAGAGCTGACAGGATTTGGGATCATTCTGCATTATCACACAGTATTACAAGAAGCCAACAAATTACTTTCTTCCTTTGACACCATCTCCACATGCAGAGGCCCTTTTGTTCTACGTAGGACCCTTTTATAGATGGTGGAAGATCCCATGCTTTCCTCCTACCACAGTGCTCCATCCATCACTTTTCCATTCCTTTGAGCTGTTTTCTACAGTAATGAAGTCTCTGGATCTCAGTAGATTATCTGGATGTAGAGAGCCAAACTGTGGCATGTTTACTCTTTATGTGTCTATAAAAGGAGCTTTGTCTTCCCCATCAGTAGGACATGAACATAGAGTAAAAGGCCCCTTCTGTCAGTGATCTGCTATCTCAGACACTGATTTGGCAGAAAATTAAAGGTGGTATGTCAAGCTAGTTCTGTGCTCATCTTAATTGATTACTTCCATAATAGAGGACAATTGTGTTATCATTTGTTGGAAGATGTATCATAAAGCATTTGATACACATTAGTAAATTGCTTATTTCTTATTATTTATTAATAAATTACTCCAAGTTAAAAGGTCCAAAGTGCAGATTCATAAATTAAAGTAGCTACAACTGTTCAAAGACACACCTTGTAAAAACCATGTTCTCTTCTACTAGGAATTCTAAACTGTCTCAAGCTAATAACCTGAAATTATCCACTGAGTTTTATTGTTGTTTGTTCATATTTTTATCTCATTAAGTTAATAGCAATGCTCATATGGTATAGGAACAGGCCGATTGTGGTTTCAAGATTCACTCATGAATGGACTACTAAGGGACAGCTTGAGCATAGCCTAGGCCATGGTATCTTGTCAGAGTGCTAGCAGAAGCAGGAATCTATTCTATGGTCCACAAACAAACCTTGTGAGAGATAGCATCACAAGCTTTGAGAGCCCACAAAGTAACCTGAGAGAGAGGGGTTCTGTGATGCTCTAGGAGCAGATGATGACATGACAAGTGGAATGGGGGTACTAATTACATTGAGCACAAGAGTGACCATCAGTTACTACAATTTTAAAAAATGTGCTGGAAAGAAACTACTGTCTTTGGTGTTCTCTCTCTCTTTCTCTCTCTCTCTCTCTCTCTCTCTCTCTCTCTGTCTATCTTTCTCTCTTTGTCTCCCTCGTGTGTTTCTATGCTTTCGGTGGACTAATTTCTGTGGACTAAATCCTTTCTTTCACATGGGAAAAGTTTTAAAAAAGTGTCACCAAACCTAATCAACTGATTGAAGGACAAGTTAATGCTTGACTGTAAATCTCTAATGTATGTTAGGAAATCAGACAGCAAATAATCAAAGCATTTGGTAAATGTTCTTGTATGAATATTAAAATATTCCATTTTAAAACATGCAACAGCGGCATATGACCACCTGGAGAGCTGAAACCAATACTTAAGAAGTCTCTTCAGATCAGTGGAGGTAAGAGTAATCATGAATACTTTGCTGCTACTTCCCTAGTTTAAATAGCAACTTAATTCATTCAAAAAAGGAACAAAGTAAATAAGATATAAACGTAATTTCATTTTTTAAAATTTGGTTCCTAATGTTCTTCACATTCAAAATTATTTCAGAAATGATTTTCTGAGAAATTTCAGTATCAAACTATATTATCTGAACCATGTTTATTTATTTAACCTGAGCCTCTGATGCACACAGTATCTTTGTATAAATAAAAGGACCTCTAACTAGTCCACAGTATGTGTCCTATAGAATTATGTGACAGCAATTTTGCTTGTTATAAAATGAATTTTTCTTTCATTTTTCTGATAAATATATTACATTTATGCTACATATATATTAGTGTCAATGAAAGGTGATCATGTAAAAAACAGAAATACAGTATTCAATTACTTTCATTAAGGATTTTGAGAACTAAATTAGCTACATTTTTTATGGGTTTTGTTCCTTTCTATAATTTCTCTACTTAGACATATTAGAAAATTCACATATGGTTTTATGTTTATCTTTAATTATCTGCTATTTAATCTGACTATTTCTTGGCATAAGAAATAATAGGCTTGGTCAACTTTTTAAAAAAATGGACTTTGAATCCTGTAGGCAGTGCTGCGGATTGAACATTGCCATTCTAAGCATTCTAGACTAGCGCTCGCCCTAATGGCTATACCACCAGCACCGTTTTTCCTTTGGTTTTATTAGTGTAGGATATGGTGATACTTGGTTTATATGCTGGTAGACATATACCACAATTTACCACAGTAGGAGGAAGGCTGAGAAAAGAGCATCATTCTGCAGGGGACAGCACTGACTGGTCCACTGAGTCTGGATAAAATTCTAAGAGTGGGAGGAACACTACAGAGTTTGGGCTCTCCGCTGTCACCACAGTGTCTTTCACACCTGCCTTGCCTATAGAGAGCACAGCATCAAGTGAATAGGAGTACGTGGAGTGTAGAGGGTCTGAAAGACTTTATTGAAAAGAGTCAGCATTATTGTAATGTGGGTGACTGTCCTTTACATTATTTCCACACTAAATTTCCTTTGTGGTGACAATGGTTGATGGAGGTCTCTCACATGCTAAGCCTCATTGGCAGTCCATTTGTTGGTGGGACAAATGCTCTGCCTCAGCCATAGGGAATGCCAAGGAGGTTATACTGCAGTTTCCATACTATGAATGAAATAAGCAAAAATTTGCTTATTCCTTTGTAGAGGGCAGGCTGTTAGCATGCAGTGAAAGCTGCTCACTTGAAGCTGTGTATGTGTGGACAAAAACGTTTCCTGTGAGGTACTACTCCCATGGAATTGCTGCTTTTTCACCAAGTTTCTTCCATGCTTCTCGCCCTGGAGATACAGTTCAGGGTGCATAACTACTGCAGGGGGCTTTCCCATAGCTCTAGTACCATGGGAGGTGATAGCAGCTAGTGCTGAGGTTCTTTGCACTGCCTGTTAGCGAGGGATCAGAAGTTAGAACTGAGGGGCTTCTGCAGCTTCCTCAGAAGCACTTGAAGAGAGTACACACAATGCCCCCCCCCCCCCCCTCTCTCTCTCTCTCTGTAGCTTTGCCACCCTGGCATCTGGAAATTCTTTGCCCTTGGTCTACCTGTGTTTCTTAACTTTTGCTATGCTGCAAAGAGCGGTCCTCATAGACTTAGCTTCCCTGTGTCTGGAATTTTCATCTTCAACGAAATAAGTTCAGCTTAATCTTTAGAGAGGCTCTTTTCACTTCCATGCAAGATGAGTACGCTCACTTGCAATTCTCCTAACACCACTAGTCCAGAGACAAATCCAGCAGCAGCAACACTGTGCTACCAATTAACACTTCAGCTTGTGATATTGATTCTGGTTAAGATGTCAGTTTTTCTGTTTGATAATGCTCATGATCATAGGTATTTTGTATACCAATTTATTATTAGTATCGACCTTTGATAAAATTGTCTCTGTATTTTAAACATACAAAGAAGTGTAAATTAAGAGTTATCCTTGTTTTTATTGTCCATAAATCAGTATTCACCTTGAAGGCTACACAGATTCAAAGTATATGTAGTAACGAAGCATTGGCCTTGGCATTCAATGCTCTTTTTTCTACAGTTGCTTATAACATATTTTGCCTTTCTACTCTGTAGATAATGGAAGAAATCAAGACCAAATCCCACTCAGGTAAGAATGTCTGGATTTTAAATACAATATGTAGAGAATATAAAGTTCAGAAGCTGGCACCAAGTTTTCCTCTGTGTAAGACAATTTTAGCTTCTTGATTATTCGCTAATGAAAGCTGAATTATGCCTCAGATACAGCGTGCAATGCTGTTAGGACTCCATGTCTGTGGCAGTGATTCAGCAGATAAAATGCTGGCTGTGCATATGGGAGAATGGGAGATGGATGCCCAGGGTCCACATGAGGCCTGTTGGTCTTGTGCGCTTCTAAAATCCTGGTGAGCTTTGGTGAGATTGCAGGTGGAGACAGAGCATACTCTCACATTTTCTGGATGTCTTGCCTGGATTGCTAGCCTGGGGCTTGCATTCATGAATGAGATTCAGCCATATAACTAAGGCTGAGGGTGAGGGTCGACACCCAAGTCTGTACTCCAATCACCACACCTATACACTGGCACATATTTAACTGCAATCATACATACTTACAAATACACTGCACATAACATGCAGTTACATATATGTAAAAATATTAGTTTTCAGGCTGTTAATCCTGTTTACTAGTATGTTGGGGACAAGGTGTCTGCTGGGAAGAGTGTGGGCAAAACTCTCCCAAACTTTGCTGAGAAAATCACCTCAGAATGGCCTTATAGAAATGCTTCTGTTCAGCAGGTTTATTTCCCTCTTAATGAGTTCCACCTCTGTGGTGAATCCCTAGGTAGGTGGAAGTTAGAAAAAGAAAGTGTTTGTTCCAGAGTTTGTTAATCAGAAACCCTGAAATTAGGAACTTTTAGCTGTAGATCCAATGAATCAAAGCTGAGGGGACAGTGTTGCTCCCTAGTGTCCTATAAAATGACTCAGAAATACCCTTAAGTATAAAGAGTTTCAACATATGCATGTGGACACACTATCAAATCTTCAAGGCACCAAAATATGATGACTTCTGAGACTGATGGCAACTTAATGCTTAGACATGGAGTCCATTTCATGTTTTCCCAGAGCAACTCTTTGAAGAGAGTGCTATGAAATGAAATGCCTAATTTTTTTTTATACAAAAAACAGGCCATGGTACATTAGGTTTAGGGGAACAAATGAAATAGGAGCATTAAGTGCTCAAAACAATCAGTTACTGCAACCATCATAACAAGTGTGTGCAAAACTCACCATTTCCCCCTCTTACGTGATTGGATGTGTGTGTGTGTGTGTGTGTGTGTGTGTGTGTGTGTGTTGCATGTGTGTGTTGCATGTGTGCATGTGTCTGTGCCTGTTGCATGCTTTGCATATTTTTTTGTGCAGACATGAGGGAAAGAGGAGGATATTGGTGTCTTGCATCATTCTCTAACTTATCCACTTGACATAAGATCTCTGACTGACCCTGGAGCTGGTCTGGCAGCCAACAAGCCCAATTGGTAGCCTGTTCCACCCACAGTACTGGGGTACATGTGTCCATGCCCAGTTTTTTATGTGGATGCTGAGGATTCAAACTCAGGTTGATCTGTGTTGGAGCAAACATTCTTATTGACTGAGCCATCTCCCAAACCAATGGCTTTTAAAATTTTTATTTTTAAATAAAACTATGAGTGAATCTTCACTGAATGTTACATAGATTGAGACAAGTTGAAACTGCCAAAGTAAAAACTTTTTAAAATGGGGGTCAACGTTGAATTACATAAATGCAAAAATGTCACTTAGTGCACAGATAACAAATCTTTCAAGAGAGATGCTCTAAGGACCAAACTCACCCCTCACTGCATGTTTTTATTCTAAAGGCTCTCTGAAAACCCTCATGTTACAACAGAGGACACGGCCACCACCTCTGCTATTAAGGTAAAATTTTCCTTTGTGAAATTTGTTTCCTTATGAATTTTGTTAAAATGCAGCAGTACTCTACCTATCACAGTTTTATATGGAAATTTGGTCAGAGAAAAGTGAACCATCCGTTCTATAAATTCCAGTGAGCAGTAAGTCCTTGCAGATAGCGGTGGCCCAATAGGAGAATGAACTGGAAACACAGGGAGTGGAAGATTGTGGAATTCTAAGGAGGTTAAGGAACTGTAATGGAGAGTTGAAAGTAGCAAAGGGTCAAAAGTATTTCCAAGAGGTCAATAAATTCATTATTCTGCCATCCGATAAAATATTGAAATCAATTTCTGCATAGAATGAATTTCATGAGATTTCCAGAAATTGAGTGGAGATGTTCATTTGTAATAAAAGATAACAAATATTAGATGCCGAGTTTGCCACATCTTTATGAATACAAATATAGATATGTATGAATATATTAGAAGATGCCTGGTGCTTGATCAAGGATGGTTTGCAGAAATAGATACACATTAGACTGATTTTGAAAACAACTGTGGTGATACATCTGAATACATTTTAGAGGGTCCGGTTATTGTAGTGGTCCAGGCATCACCCAGGTGCCTTTTCTCTCAGCATAATTGCAGGTAGGTTTTCTCTTCCCTTGGATATTCCTATTTCAGGATCACAGATAAAAGCATCTCCTCTGTTTGTCTCTTTTCTTCTGTGTTTACATTAGCAAGAAACTTTGGAAATTTAGCTATTTGTAATCTGTTCAACCAAGTTTTCATTATGAAGAGATTACAGTCTGTTTTCTATTTGATTCCACTAGGAGGATATTGACAACTCTTCCTCCAGGTACACGGTAAGTATTTTTCCCCAATTAGCCAGCAATTGTAGATGTGAAGATTCAATTACCATATAGTAACACTTTGGTTTCTGGATATTTGCTCTGTATTTGACAATAATATACACTCTGATTCTTTGTATCATGTTCACCTATTTAACATATCTTAGGGTTATACTTAGCATTTATGTGTTCATAGTAAAGTGACCTCATCACTGTGAGCTGCTGGAGGTTAGGAATCCTGTTTGTAACCTGGAGCCTTAGAGTAAGTGTTGTGTGAATCAGAAGTTGAATATTAATGACTTTTGAATGGGACTCAGCAGAAAAAATGGGTTTCTATAAAGCAGTTTCACAGATACTATGATATGGAGGACACTAGTAAGTGAGAGTATATTTATAAGTTGAAAATAATATACATTTTGCCTCCCAAACATAGAAGAGAAACACTGATGAAAGGGGGGCTATTAAAAGTAATAATCATCTCAAATAAGATTCAGAAAGTTTAAAATATAGTGAGTTAAGTTTAGTCTCAATCACAGGGAAAGGCCAAATTTCTCAATTCATGATTTTCTCAATCTAGCTAGTAAGGAATAAAGTAGTTTTGATATTGTGCACCCCAAATCAAGAGTTCATTTCCTAATCAAACTAGGAAAATTGATCCTCTGTCTTTTCATTGCAGATAATAGAGAAACAACTTTTGTATTCCAAGAAGATCGCTGCAATGAAGAAGCGGGACCAAGCAGGTCTTAGCAAATCAAAATCAATGATAGACCTAAGTACTCTCGGAGAGGCACTGCCTGAGTTCTCTAAAAAGAAATCATGCTTGATGGTAATTCCTATTAATTTAAAAAGTAACATATTTGCCTGTGAGGAGAATGTTGACTTTGTGTTTCTAAGTCTGTATAGTTGCAAATCATGTCAGAGAAGACAAAGCCTTGAACATATCTTTCACCGCCATCATACTCTCATTCCTATGAATACCCAGCTAGCCTGTCCCCTTCTAAGACAGTAGTTCTCAATATTCCTTATGCTGTGAACATTCAACATAATTTCTCATGTGGTGATCCTAACAGTAAAATGATTTTTGCTGCTCCTTCATAACTGTAATTTTGCTAATGTGATGAATCATAATGCTGATATCTGTGTTTCCACATGGCCTTAGATGATCTCTGTAAAAAGGTCCTATGATCCCCAAATGGGTTCACAGGTTGAGAATCCCTGTTCTAAGGTGTAAGTGATAGCAAATTAGACTATGGAAACAAAAATCAGAAAGTGAGTAACTTTTATCACAGTTGTGGAGGACTCATGAAATACAGAGAATAAAAAATAAAGACTCCTGGAGTCATAACTGTCAACGTGAGTTCACATAACATACATACAATGTTTTAAACTGATTTATTTTATGTGTATAAATATTTTGCATGCATTCTCTCCGTTCACCTTGTGTGTGTGCTGCCCACAGACACCCAAGACAGCATTCGATCTCCTGGAATTGGTGTTCCAGATGGTTGTCAGCATATGTGTGGGTGCTCGAATCTAGTCCAGGTCTCTGCAAGAGGAACAAGTGTCATAAACTACTGAGCTATCTTTCCAGTCCCCAGAATGAATCTGTTTGGTACACAAATAGAGTATATCATCAGTGGAAATGAGTAGTCAGTCTCAGGATGTTTACCAAACTTAGGCCACTTTGACACATTGAAATCCAGAGAACACAGAGGCAGCACAAAGAGCAATAGGAGGCTGGGCATGTTGGTGCACACCTTTAATCCCTGTAATCATGAAGCAGAGGCTGACTGTTCTCTGTCAGTTCAAGGACACCCTTTATTTGAAGGATGGGGGGAGGCAAGGAACATGTGCACCAAGCAGAAGTGTGGAGGTCAAAGGATAATGTATATAGGAGTAAGTTTTCTCATTTCAGGCTCAGGTATCAAATTCAAGTTGTCAGTCATGCTGGCAAGTGCCTTCATCCATTTAGCCATCACACTGGCTCTCTGATTTACACTTGGACTGAAATTTTGTAGCACTCACACACACCACCAGCACCACCCGCACCACCACCACCACCAAACAAGAGAAAAAGAGTGACAGAGAGAGAAGGGATATCATGTGTTTGAATACTTTGTTACAATTTAGGAGATTGGTTAACCTTTGGGATGGGATTTGGTCTGGTTAGCAGAAGGTTGTCTGTGGTGGGTCTTAATGGTTATCACTACTTCTGGAATCAGTTCTGAGTTGTCTCCTTCCCTGTCTACCAGCATGTGAGAAGCAATAGACCATTGCCACAGACAAAGCTTCCCTGTTGGCTTTACCTACTTCAACTGTTGCAGGGAACGTCAGTCAGTTAGAGCAGGGAAGGCAAACAGTAGTTCCCTGTAGTCATGAGCCTTTCTCCCTTGCTTAAATAATCTCTGTCAGATATTTTTGTCACAGCAACTATAAAAGTAATAGCCTTCTTTGTTTTTTTATTTATTTATTTTACTTTTTCTTTTATTCTTTAAGACAATTTTTTTATTTTACATACCAATCCCAATTCCCTCTCCCTCCCTTGTGCCTGCTCTCCCAACTCCCCACCACCCCACTCCACACTACCCCACTCCCCATTCATTCCTCATAGAGGATGAGGTCTCCCACGGGGAGTCAACAAAGTCTGTCATATCCCTTGAGGCAGGACTAAGTCTATCCTCCCTGTATCTAGGCTGAGCAAAGTATCCCTCCATAGGGAATGGGTTCCAAAAAGCCAGTTCACACACTAGGGGTAAATAAATACTGGACCCACTGCCAGTGGAATAACAAAACTGACCAAACCATATGACTGTCACCCATATTCAGAGGGCCTAGTTTGGTCCTGTGCCAGTTCCCTAGTTGTCAGTCAGGAGCCAGTGAGCTCCCACAACCTTGGGTCAGCTATTTCTGCAGGGTTTTTTTTTCTATAATCGACCCCATATTTGATCACAAAGCAAATCTCAACAGATTAAAAAAAGTAGAAATAACCCTGTGTCTTATTGGATCACCGATGGGTTAAAGTTAGAATTCAACAACACTAATTGCAAAAATTCTACATACTCATAGAAACTGAACAATTCTCAACAGAATTATCCCTGGATCAAGGAAAAATAAAGGAAGCCTTCCTAGAATTTAATGAAAATGAAGGCATGACATACCCAATTCTTTGGGATACTTTGAAAGCAGTACTAACAGGAAAATTCATAGCACTAAGTGCCTACATAAAGAACCTGGAGAAATCTCACACTAGCATTTTAACAGCACACCTGAAAGCTCTAGAACAAAAAAGGGAGTCTCACCCAGGAGGAGTAGATACCAGGAAATTATCAATTTGAGGACTAAAATCAATAAAATAGAAACAAAGTAAGTGAAACAAAGAGTCAATGTGACAAAGAAATGGGTTTTTGAGAAAATCAGCAAGATAGACAAACCCTTATTCAAACTAATCAAAAGAAAGAGCGACAAAATCCATATTAACAAAATCGGAAATGAAAAGGGGGACATAACATCAGACACTGAGGAAATCCAGAGAATTATCTGGTCATATTTCAAAAATATGTATTTGAGAAAAGTGGAAAATGTAAAGGAAATGGACAATTTTCTTTTGTGTTTTAAACCGCCAGAAGGTATAAACAAGCAGAAGAGCTCGCTCTGTTTGTATACCCTACTTAACCAATTGCCAGTTTCCATTACAAATGGCTAACAACTAGCTAGTTACCTTGAACCATCTAAATTCAGCATTAGGAGAGACGGGAGCAGACTTGACATAATTATGACACTTAATAAAACCATTAGTAACTGTAGTTTTAATATTGTCAGAACCAAACTCAAAAGTTCTTTCTTTTAAGCTTAATCCAACTTGGTTTCTAAATTAATATTAGCTATTATGTATGATCAAAGTGAGTAATTGGTCAAGGGAGGTCTTAGCAGGGAGACAGATCTCAAGTGATTTTAATAAACAGACATTCAGTTGCCAGACATCTTCCAAGATTTCAGTGAAAAATCATTAGCATATAAATTGACATGATTAATACAAATGCAAATTTTAGACTAATGTCGAAATTTTAGTTTGATACAGAAAGTAAATGGTAATGTGATGAGTGTGGCGGCCATGGAGTGTTCCCCTTGGCGTGAAGGGACCAACATCTTGGATATGCAAAGGATTAGAATACAAACCACAATATACAAACCACAATATCACTAATAGAAATGAGATCTTAGCATATTCTTTTTTTTTTTTACTTTTTTTTTATTGAGAAATGGAGAAAAAAAAAAAACAAGTTTCCACCTCCTCCCAGCCTCCCATTTCCCTCCCCCTCCTCCTCCCCTACGCCCCCTCCTCCCACCCTTCTCCCCCTCCCCCCACTCCTTTCCCCCTCCCTCTCCAGTCCAAAGAGCAGTCAGGGTTTTCTGCCCTGTGGTAAGACCTAGGACCTCCCACCTCCGTCCATATCTAGGAAGGTGAACATCCAAACTGGCTGGGCTCCCACAAAGCCATCACATTACGTAGGATCAAACCCCCGTGCCATTGTCCTTTGCGTCTCATCAGCCCTCATAGTTCGCCATGTTCAGAGAGTCCAGTTTTATCCCATGCTTTTTCAGTCACAGTCCAGCTGGTCTTGGTGAGCTCTTAATAGATCAGCTCCACTGTCTCAGTGGGTGGGTGCATCCCTCGTGGTCCCGACTTCTTTGCTCATGTTCTCCCTCCTTCTGCTCCTCATTGGGACTTTGGGAGCTCAGTCCAGTGCTCCAGTGTGGGTCTCTGTCTCTATCTCCATCCATCACCAGATGAAGGTTCTATGATGATATGCAAGATATTCGTCAGTATTGCTCAAGGATAGGGTCATTTCAGGTTCCCTATTCTCAACTGCCCAAGGAACTAACTGGGGACCTCAGCTTGGGCACCTGGGAGCCCCTCTAGGATCAGGTCTCTTGCCAACCCTAAAGTGGTTCCCTTAACTAAGAATTGTGGTTCCGTGCTCCCTTGTCCAACCTTCCTTTATCCCAATCCTCCTGCTTTCCCAAGGCCCGACCTCCTTCCCTTCTAACTTTTCTCTCCCCATCTCCCCTTACCCCCAACCCACCCCACCCCAAGATCCCAATTTTCTCCCCGGCAATTTTGTCTACTTCCCTTAGCCAAGAGGATAACTATATGTTTTTCCTTGGGTTCCCCTTCTTACTTAGCTTCTTTAGATTCACCTATTGTAGACTCCGTGACCCTTATTTATGGCTAGGAACCAATTATGAGTGAGTACATCCCATGTTCATCTTTTTGGGTCTGGGATACCTCACTCAGGATAGTGTTTTCTATTTCCATCCATTTGCATGCAAAATTCGAGAAGTCATTGTTTTTTACCGCTGAGTAGTACTCTAATGTGTAGATAGTCCATACTTTCTTCATCCATTCTTCCATTGAAGGGCATCTAGGTTGTTTCCAGGTTCTGGCTATTACAAATAATACTGCTATGAACATAGTTGAACAAATGCTTTTGTCATATGATAGGGCATTTCTTGGGTATATTCCCAAGAGTGGTATTGCTGGGTCCAGGGGTAGGTTGATCCCGAATTTCCTAAGAAACCGAAACACTGACTTCCATAGTGGTTGCACAAGATTGCATTCCCACCAGCAATGGATGAGGGTACCCCTTCCTCCACAACCTCTCCAGCAAAGGCTATCCTTGGTGTTTTTGACTTTAGCCATTCTCACAGGTGTAAGATGATATCTCAAAGTTGTTTTGATTTGCATTTTCCTGATTGCTAAGGAAGTTGAGCATGACCTTAAGTGTCTTTTGGCCATTTG